AGATGCTTTGTACATTCCAAATTATGAAGAATGTGAAAGAAAAATGCAAGATGTTAATGGATAATGTTGAGGCATGGGATGTGTTGATGGAAGTGTGGCAAAATGTGATGGACTATGACGACCCGTCGATGTTTGATGCTTATGTTCATCGTTTTAAGTATGCCTATGCATCATGGCCTCTATTTTTTTATTATGTGAACCGTACTTGGATCATTTTGTACAAGGCATACTTCGTCAAGGCGTAGACAAACAAAGTGATGCATCTAGGGAACACTACAACAAACAGGTAATTGTTATTGTAAATTTGTTTACTTATGTATTTCATATTTGTTGTGATAGTATTAATGTGTTTTGTGGCAAGGTTGAGTTTGCGTACTAGAACCTAAAGAGATTATTGGGGTCTAGTATGAGAGATTTATGCTTGTGTTGGGATGCTATGCATAACGTCATTGTCCTACAACATAATAAGATAAGAGCGTCCTTTGAAAAAAGTCTTAACGTAATGAGTGATGCTTATAAAGGATTAAGATATAGAAGACTTGTTGGACGTGTTTCACAATACGCTCTAGGACTTATTGCCGATGAAGTTGAGCGAGTGAATCAAATAGGTTTGGACAGTGCTCGTTGTGGATGCATTTTGAGGTAATGGTACTAGAATATTTCCTCTTAGTGAAATACATGTTATGTGGACCCATTTAAGCATTTCAAGTAATGTGTCTATTGAATTGCTTCCAGAGTTTAGCTTATATCTTGAAGTTCAACTGGTATAAGAACGATTCAAGAACATTGACATTGGTGAACAAGTCAACATCAAGCAGAAGATGCTAGAAATTGTTTGCCTAGAGATGACATTTATGGTTGCTCCTTCGCATAAAGTGATAACAAAAGGCGCACAAAAGACTAAAGTTGCACGTCATGAGAGGTCTATGAAACGTGACCCATCATATTTTGAGCACGTTGGCAGTTTTCATTCCAGGACAAAGCCTTCATAACGAAAATCACAAGTGAAATCGAAGCCGAAAGAAGTTGCACGAAGGTCAGTACCGATGTTAAATCAATTTCATCCGATCTGTCATCCATACATTGTCGATGTTGTGGATGTTGTTGCCAATGGTGAAAAGGCATGGCCTGTTATACGACATGACCTTTATCAAGAACTAACTTAGATGCGTGATGAATACGCAAAATTAGTAGGAAGCTACGATCAATTGAAAGAACTACGACATTCATTGGTTGTCCACGATCGATCACAGGTATTTGTTATTTACCTCATAAACATTACTTATTTGTTATTTTGTATTTCTTTTCATAAATACTTACCTTCAAGCAATACAGGTTAATGCTAAGAAGTGGATGACCATACCGGACATTGGCTATGCCATTGCAAATAGATACAATGTCATCTTAGTATGTTTGTCCTATGTTTAGAGTTTTACCATATTCCCACTGTGCACTTCACCACCTACTGATATCAGACAACATCAGATCTTATGCATTTGATTTGTTAATGAATGTCATTTCGTACAGGTAAACTTCCATTTCTATTATACCATAACCATTAACCATTATGATTCATTTACTAATATTAAGTTTCCAGGTCCAATTACAAGATGGTTGTCTGTTACCCATGTGGACATCATTTCCTCAAACCATTGTTACCCAAAGGCACAATCATGATCCTCATTTTATACACATAGGATGCAATCATTTATGGAGTTAATGGGAGTTAATAGAACTTATGTAGATCTTGGAGAAGACTAAAATTAAGTTTGTTTTGTAGTAATTTATTTTTTCAATTGTAAATATCTTTTGTACTAATTCATGGTTTTGAATTGATTGTCGTATTAATTGTCCGTTATTTCAATTGTCTCGTTATATCATTTGATTGAACGAAGATGAATCATATTAACGCGTTCAATAAATTATAATTAGTCACATTATGCAAATCATACATAATTATGCATTATTAATACTCAAAGTATAATTAAACGTTACATAAATAAGCATTAAAAAACATATATAACAATCTCCTTTCAAGAAAATGATGCTCTTCCACGAACATGACGAGCACCTCTACTAGTACTAGCCTCATACTCCTCAACGGATCTACGAGCAACCTGAAGTGCCTCAATAGTACGCTGATAAGCTACAGTGCCCTTTGTGACGTCTCGATAGGTTAACATGCTCTGCAACATCCTGATCACACGCCTCATACCACCCTAAAATGAATATAACAAAATAAATAAATTAACTATGTAAACAAAAATTGATATAATAAACAATCAAATTAGTTTCATTACATACCAACAATCCAGATTCAGGCGATCGTCTACGAAGAACTAAGGGCATCAGGATGTCATCTGGTAGGTGTCGCCTCATGCGCGGGGCAAGATTGGGACGGTCATCGTCGTCAGCTGGAGTGATGTACGAGTGGGACACCCGTCTAAACCACATTAGGTATTCATCAACACACGCAGAGGGCTCATCAGCTTCAGTGACACCAGTAATGGCATGCTCAACATACCTCAGCCAATTTAGATCAATCGTAGGAATGTTTGGCATCAGAAGGCTCTCAGGCGAACGTGGTATGATCTGCTGAAAACCGAACTGACGCAACACACGTTCAGGCAAATGTCGGTGAATCATGTCGCATAGTCGGATCCATCCTGAAAACATACATATGTTCATGAATGGACAAGTACGTCTGTGCGAAATGTATGGATGCCAAATGACATCATCGTAAGTGAGCCAATCCAGATATGTCCGCCCCTCCATCAAACTCCAACCTTGCCTTGGAGGTATATATCGTGAAGCACGTGGATCGAGATCTGTGTACCTATCCGATACTCGCCTCCTTCCCATGTCAGGAAGGTGCTCATATATCCAACTCTAAAAAAACATTACTTAAATTATTTTATACATTCGTAAAATATATTAAAACAATTTTGTAAAACTAAAATGTACCTGTAGAAGAGTGGAATATCCAGCTATCTGCTTGACACCAGTGAAGCTAGCATCTCCTAGCTGCTCATAAGTATATGCCAGTGCAGATGCTCCCCAGGCATATGTCGCACAAGCATTCAAGTCTCGCAACAGAAGGAGGTACGAGACTCAAATAAATGTCCCACTCTTATTCGTAAAAATTGTGCATCCAAGTAGATGCAACAAGTAGGCCCGAGCAGCGCACTCCCAAAGCTCCTGCTCAATGCACTCTTGGTAGACCTCGCGGAGCCAGCTCAGCCTAACTTTTGGACCGCGTGACTGTTTCATCTCGGCTGAAGCTTTGGCACGATCGACACCAAGCAAGTCCATAAGATGAGATCGAGCCTCATCATACTCTAACTCCTCCACGTCACAAAATTGCCCCATGATAGGTAGGTGAAGCAGATTGTGAACGTCATCTAATGTGACACTCATCTCTCCTACACGGAGGTGGAAAGTATTTGTCTCTGGGTGCCACCTCTTCGCAAGGGAAACGATCAATCCATGATCGACATACTCGTACGATAGGTTGACTAAGGAAGCCAAACCCGATATGGAGATATAACGCTCAATAGCCTCATGGTACATTCCAAAATGTCTTAATTTTTTACCATGGGAAATCACTTTGATCTTCCCTCGATCCTACATAAAAACACAAATTTATATAACAAAAATAAATAAACAATTAATGAACAATTAACATTTAGGTTGATGACTAACCCGGCCTTGCCACATGGCAAATGCAACATGCTGGGTATAATGTGTGAGCAAGGAGGTGTCACGTGGACCTCCTAGAAATCCATCATCTTCATCTTCTTCTTCTTCCTCACTATAGTCATCCTCCTGCGGTTCAACATCCTTCTGCTCAACATAGTCGTCCTCACCATATCTCTGCTGTATAATTTCGTTATGCTCCTCAGACCCATCCTCATGAATAACATCCACACGTTTTGGTCGTCTCCTTTTATCGTGAGATGAAGATGAAGGCTCACCACGAGAAGATGAAGCATCACCGCGAGAAGATGATCCACCTCTAGTTCTAACCATTTCTATAACCAATTATATTATAACAAATGGTATAAAAAAATAATAATTACATAATAATAAATATTGAAACAAATAATAAATAATCATAAAATAAAAAATTAATAATAAAATAATGAAGAAAAAATTAATAACAACAANCGATCAATTGAAAGAACTACGACATTCATTGGTTGTCCACGATCGATCACAGGTATTTGTTATTTACCTCATAAACATTACTTATTTGTTATTTTGTATTTCTTTTCATAAATACTTACCTTCAAGCAATACAGGTTAATGCTAAGAAGTGGATGACCATACCGGACATTGGCTATGCCATTGCAAATAGATACAATGTCATCTTAGTATGTTTGTCCTATGTTTAGAGTTTTACCATATTCCCACTGTGCACTTCACCACCTACTGATATCAGACAACATCAGATCTTATGCATTTGATTTGTTAATGAATGTCATTTCGTACAGGTAAACTTCCATTTCTATTATACCATAACCATTAACCATTATGATTCATTTACTAATATTAAGTTTCCAGGTCCAATTACAAGATGGTTGTCTGTTACCCATGGTGGACATCATTTCCTCAAACCATTGTTACCCATAGGCACAATCATGATCCTCATTTTATACACATAGGATGCAATCATTTATGGAGTTAATGGGAGTTAATAGAACTTATGTAGATCTTGGAGAAGACTAAAATTAAGTTTGTTTTGTAGTAATTTATTTTTTCAATTGTAAATATCTTTTGTACTAATTCATGGTTTTGAATTGATTGTCGTATTAATTGTCCGTTATTTTAATTGTCTCGTTATATCATTTGATTGAACGAAGATGAATCATATTAACGCGTTCAATAAATTATAATTAGTCACATTATGTAAATCATACATAATTATGCATTATTAATACTCAAAGTATAATTAAACGTTACATAAATAAGCATTAAAAAACATATATAACAATCTCCTTTCAAGAAAATGATGCTCTTCCACGAACATGACGAGCACCTCTACTAGTACTAGCCTCATACTCCTCAACGGATCTACGAGCAACCTGAAGTGCCTCAATAGTACGCTGATAAGCTACAGTGCCCTTTGTGACGTCTCGATAGGTTAACATGCTCTGCAACATCCTGATCACACGCCTCATACCACCCTAAAATGAATATAACAAAATAAATAAATTAACTATGTAAACAAAAATTGATATAATAAACAATCAAATTAGTTTCATTACATACCAACAATCCAGATTCAGGCGATCGTCTACGAAGAACTAAGGGCATCAGGATGTCATCTGGTAGGTGTCGCCTCATGCGCGGGGCAAGATTGGGACGGTCATCGTCGTCAGCTGGAGTGATGTACGTGTGGGACACCCGTCTAAACCACATTAGGTATTCATCAACACACGCAGAGGGCTCATCAGCTTCAGTGACACCAGTAATGGCATGCTCAACATACCTCAGCCAATTTAGATCAATCGTAGGAATGTTTGGCATCAGAAGGCTCTCAGGCGAACGTGGTATGATCTGCTGAAAACCGAACTGACGCAACACACGTTCAGGCAAATGTCGGTGAATCATGTCGCATAGTCGGATCCATCCTGAAAACATACATATGTTCATGAATGGACAAGTACGTCTGTGCGAAATGTATGGATGCCAAATGACATCATCGTAAGTGAGCCAATCCAGATATGTCCGCCCCTCCATCAAACTCCAACCTTGCCTTGGAGGTATATATCGTGAAGCACGTGGATCGAGATCTGTGTACCTATCCGATACTCGCCTCCTTCCCATGTCAGGAAGGTGCTCATATATCCAACTCTAAAAAAACATTACTTAAATTATTTTATACATTCGTAAAATATATTAAAACAATTTTGTAAAACTAAAATGTACCTGTAGAAGAGTGGAATATCCAGCTATCTGCTTGACACCAGTGAAGCTAGCATCTCCTAGCTGCTCATAAGTATATGCCAGTGCAGATGCTCCCCAGGCATATGTCGCACAAGCATTCAAGTCTCGCAACAGAAGGAGGTACGAGACTCTAATAAATGTCCCACTCTTATTCGTAAAAATTGTGCATCCAAGTAGATGCAACAAGTAGGCCCGAGCAGCGCACTCCCAAAGCTCCTGCTCAATGCACTCTTGGTAGACCTCGCGGAGCCAGCTCAGCCTAACTTTTGGACCGCGTGACTGTTTCATCTCGGCTGAAGCTTTGGCACGATCGACACCAAGCAAGTCCATAAGATGAGATCGAGCCTCATCATACTCTAACTCCTCCACGTCACAAAATTGCCCCATGATAGGTAGGTGAAGCAGATTGTGAACGTCATCTAATGTGACACTCATCTCTCCTACACGGAGGTGGAAAGTATTTGTCTCTGGGTGCCACCTCTTCGCAAGGGAAACGATCAATCCATGATCGACATACTCGTACGATAGGTTGACTAAGGAAGCCAAACCCGATATGGAGATATAACGCTCAATAGCCTCATGGTACATTCCAAAATGTCTTAATTTTTTACCATGGGAAATCACTTTGATCTTCCCTCGATCCTACATAAAAACACAAATTTATATAACAAAAATAAATAAACAATTAATGAACAATTAACATTTAGGTTGATGACTAACCCGGCCTTGCCACATGGCAAATGCAACATGCTGGGTATAATGTGTGAGCAAGGAGGTGTCACGTGGACCTCCTAGAAATCCATCATCTTCATCTTCTTCTTCTTCCTCACTATAGTCATCCTCCTGCGGTTCAACATCCTTCTGCTCAACATAGTCGTCCTCACCATATCTCTGCTGTATAATTTCGTTATGCTCCTCAGACCCATCCTCATGAATAACATCCACACGTTTTGGTCGTCTCCTTTTATCGTGAGATGAAGATGAAGGCTCACCACGAGAAGATGAAGCATCACCGCGAGAAGATGATCCACCTCTAGTTCTAACCATTTCTATAACCAATTATATTATAACAAATGGTATAAAAAAATAATAATTACATAATAATAAATATTGAAACAAATAATAAATAATCATAAAATAAAAAATTAATAATAAAATAATGAAGAAAAAATTAATAACAACAAAAGTTACTTAATAAATATTACTTAAATAATTACAAATTATAACAAAAACATTAAAAATAAAAAATAAATTAAGAAACCAAATAATAACTCAAAAATAAAAAGTTTAGGCATAATAATTATTATTTAATTAAATAAATAATTTTAAAAAATTACAAATTAAAAAAAAAATTAAAAATCAGCTAAAATAAAATTAAACAACAAAATTTACATAATAAATAATATATAACATAATTTTAAGCATAAAAAATAATAATTTTAAAATAAAATAACAAACAAATAAAAAAAGTGAAAAGATATTCCAAAAACATATTAAATATTATTTAACCATAAAATATAACAAAAAAATCAAATTTATAGAATATATAGATATAAAATATTAACAAAAAACTATATAAAATATTAACCAAAATAAATTAAATATACTAACATAATATTTCATACATATATTTTTAAAAAAGAATTTAATACTATAAATAAATATAAAAAATAAAAAATAAAAAATTTAATACTATAAATAAATATAAAAAATACAAAATAATAAATAATATAAGGAAATACAATTTATAAATTTCAAAAAAATTAAATACAAATTTAATATAATAAAAGAAAATATTAAATAATCCTAAAATGCAATCAGCACAGCTCCAGGTGCGACCGGCAGGTCGAAATGCGTTTACCCTCATTCGCATTTTCAAGTGCAGCTGCTTCCAAAACCTGCTTGCAAAAGCGCTGAACACCAAACACAGGTACTTCCATATGCGGTCGCCACACTTCTATGTGCGGCTGGGCCTGCCGCAATTTCAAGTGCGGTTAAGGCCCTAATTTTTTCCCTCACCCAAATCCAGACAGATAAAAAACGAAACAAGCATATCAAACACAGATTCTATAATGACATTTAACATTTTATCACACTCAATGCATCGTATACTCTGTTATATTATACAATGATTTTAAGAAAATCTAAAAAAAAAAAACCAACCTGGACGCCCAAAGCTTGAAGTAACTGTGTGAGGAGAAGAAAATCTACTGAGCACCACACAGCGGTTCTTTTTCTAGGGGAGAACCTCTCTCTGCAAAATTAAAATTAAAGAGTTCTTCTTCGATGGGTGGGGCCGTCCGCTGAAAATAGAGACACAGCGGACGTATTAGCGCTCGTTTTCTTCTCTTCGGTGGGTTTAAGAACTTTATTCACATGTTTTCTTGAAGTGGTATAGAAGAGAATTAAAGATAGTGCAGTGTAAGGCTTTGAGACGATGTCGTTTTAGAATTGATAGGGTGAAAGAAAATGCAAAACTATTAAAAGTTAGAGTGTTTAGCATATTAGGTATTTAATTATTAAGTTATGGCCAATAGTTAAAGCGTGGGTTTGATATTTTAGTCATGCAAGCATTTGTGGTATAACTGTAGTGTGGCTTTGATGTGATATTTTATTGTTTCGATTTTTGGATGATTAGAATAATGATTAAGTAACATATTTTTACATTTAATATAAGAGTAAAATGATTATAAAAAATAAATTTTTATATATTTTTTAAGAAAATAAAAAATAAAAAAATAATGTTAAATGAATAAAACAAATTATATTATCTCAAAGTATAATATTTTTATAGAAAATAACGAAGGTTGTTTTACATGTAGGTGTTATAATAGGTACCATAAATGAACAATTTTATTTATACGGTGGGTTTTTATACAATACTAGACACATGGTTCGTTTTTGGGTATAAACAATATTTTTTTATTAATACCGGTGATGTTTTTACTTTTGTGGGCTAAAGATATATTATATTATACATATGAAAGATTTATTATAATATACGAAAGTGAAATTGTGGTTTTAAGACGGTTTTACAATTCCTGTTTTGAATACTATAATATATTTATAAAGGTTTTAAGGTTTCTTTTTTATATTGCTATTTTGTCTTATTTGATATTATATATGTACAAATGATATTGTAATNAATAAATGTCCCACTCTTATTCGTAAAAATTGTGCATCCAAGTAGATGCAACAAGTAGGCCCGAGCAGCGCACTCCCAAAGCTCCTGCTCAATGCACTCTTGGTAGACCTCGCGGAGCCAGCTCAGCCTAACTTTTGGACCGCGTGACTGTTTCATCTCGGCTGAAGCTTTGGCACGATCGACACCAAGCAAGTCCATAAGATGAGATCGAGCCTCATCATACTCTAACTCCTCCACGTCACAAAATTGCCCCATGATAGGTAGGTGAAGCAGATTGTGAACGTCATCTAATGTGACACTCATCTCTCCTACACGGAGGTGGAAAGTATTTGTCTCTGGGTGCCACCTCTTCGCAAGGGAAACGATCAATCCATGATCGACATACTCGTACGATAGGTTGACTAAGGAAGCCAAACCCGATATGGAGATATAACGCTCAATAGCCTCATGGTACATTCCAAAATGTCTTAATTTTTTACCATGGGAAATCACTTTGATCTTCCCTCGATCCTACATAAAAACACAAATTTATATAACAAAAATAAATAAACAATTAATGAACAATTAACATTTAGGTTGATGACTAACCCGGCCTTGCCACATGGCAAATGCAACATGCTGGGTATAATGTGTGAGCAAGGAGGTGTCACGTGGACCTCCTAGAAATCCATCATCTTCATCTTCTTCTTCTTCCTCACTATAGTCATCCTCCTGCGGTTCAACATCCTTCTGCTCAACATAGTCGTCCTCACCATATCTCTGCTGTATAATTTCGTTATGCTCCTCAGACCCATCCTCATGAATAACATCCACACGTTTTGGTCGTCTCCTTTTATCGTGAGATGAAGATGAAGGCTCACCACGAGAAGATGAAGCATCACCGCGAGAAGATGATCCACCTCTAGTTCTAACCATTTCTATAACCAATTATATTATAACAAATGGTATAAAAAAATAATAATTACATAATAATAAATATTGAAACAAATAATAAATAATCATAAAATAAAAAATTAATAATAAAATAATGAAGAAAAAATTAATAACAACAAAAGTTACTTAATAAATATTACTTAAATAATTACAAATTATAACAAAAACATTAAAAATAAAAAATAAATTAAGAAACCAAATAATAACTCAAAAATAAAAAGTTTAGGCATAATAATTATTATTTAATTAAATAAATAATTTTAAAAAATTACAAATTAAAAAAAAAATTAAAAATCAGCTAAAATAAAATTAAACAACAAAATTTACATAATAAATAATATATAACATAATTTTAAGCATAAAAAATAATAATTTTAAAATAAAATAACAAACAAATAAAAAAAGTGAAAAGATATTCCAAAAACATATTAAATATTATTTAACCATAAAATATAACAAAAAAATCAAATTTATAGAATATATAGATATAAAATATTAACAAAAAACTATATAAAATATTAACCAAAATAAATTAAATATACTAACATAATATTTCATACATATATTTTTAAAAAAGAATTTAATACTATAAATAAATATAAAAAATAAAAAATAAAAAATTTAATACTATAAATAAATATAAAAAATACAAAATAATAAATAATATAAGGAAATACAATTTATAAATTTCAAAAAAATTAAATACAAATTTAATATAATAAAAGAAAATATTAAATAATCCTAAAATGCAATCAGCACAGCTCCAGGTGCGACCGGCAGGTCGAAATGCGTTTACCCTCATTCGCATTTTCAAGTGCAGCTGCTTCCAAAACCTGCTTGCAAAAGCGCTGAACACCAAACACAGGTACTTCCATATGCGGTCGCCACACTTCTATGTGCGGCTGGGCCTGCCGCAATTTCAAGTGCGGTTAAGGCCCTAATTTTTTCCCTCACCCAAATCCAGACAGATAAAAAACGAAACAAGCATATCAAACACAGATTCTATAATGACATTTAACATTTTATCACACTCAATGCATCGTATACTCTGTTATATTATACAATGATTTTAAGAAAATCTAAAAAAAAAAAACCAACCTGGACGCCCAAAGCTTGAAGTAACTGTGTGAGGAGAAGAAAATCTACTGAGCACCACACAGCGGTTCTTTTTCTAGGGGAGAACCTCTCTCTGCAAAATTAAAATTAAAGAGTTCTTCTTCGATGGGTGGGGCCGTCCGCTGAAAATAGAGACACAGCGGACGTATTAGCGCTCGTTTTCTTCTCTTCGGTGGGTTTAAGAACTTTATTCACATGTTTTCTTGAAGTGGTATAGAAGAGAATTAAAGATAGTGCAGTGTAAGGCTTTGAGACGATGTCGTTTTAGAATTGATAGGGTGAAAGAAAATGCAAAACTATTAAAAGTTAGAGTGTTTAGCATATTAGGTATTTAATTATTAAGTTATGGCCAATAGTTAAAGCGTGGGTTTGATATTTTAGTCATGCAAGCATTTGTGGTATAACTGTAGTGTGGCTTTGATGTGATATTTTATTGTTTCGATTTTTGGATGATTAGAATAATGATTAAGTAACATATTTTTACATTTAATATAAGAGTAAAATGATTATAAAAAATAAATTTTTATATATTTTTTAAGAAAATAAAAAATAAAAAAATAATGTTAAATGAATAAAACAAATTATATTATCTCAAAGTATAATATTTTTATAGAAAATAACGAAGGTTGTTTTACATGTAGGTGTTATAATAGGTACCATAAATGAACAATTTTATTTATACGGTGGGTTTTTATACAATACTAGACACATGGTTCGTTTTTGGGTATAAACAATATTTTTTTATTAATACCGGTGATGTTTTTACTTTTGTGGGCTAAAGATATATTATATTATACATATGAAAGATTTATTATAATATACGAAAGTGAAATTGTGGTTTTAAGACGGTTTTACAATTCCTGTTTTGAATACTATAATATATTTATAAAGGTTTTAAGGTTTCTTTTTTATATTGCTATTTTGTCTTATTTGATATTATATATGTACAAATGATATTGTAATAATTATTAGAATCCGTATGTGTCATTTTATTTTATTTGTTTGGAAATCTTTGTGGTTATAAGTTTTGTAATATTTTTAGTATAATTATGATGATATGTTAATATATGGTTATTTAAAAATATAAATGAAGGGTAATTTGATGAAAAGTAATGAAGGGTAGTTTTGAGTAATTGTATTGTAAGCAATTTCGTTTTTGAGAAAAGTAACGAGAAGTTGTACATATTTGTCGAGATTATGAAAAAAAAGTAATGAGAAATTGTATAATTCGTTGAGGCTTTCAAGAAAAGTAATGAAAATTGTATCTTTTGTTGAGATTCTCAAAACGAGTAATATGAAATTGTATATTTTATCGTGGTTCTGAAAGTAATAAAAAGTGAGATATTTTCTCAATTATTACCAAAAGAATAATGGGAAATATAATGCTTATATGTGAAAGTTACAACCTAACCTTGATGGTAGGTTGTATTAACGGTTGTGATAACATGTTCTGAATTCTATTGATAATTAGTTTATTTGATGGATTGATTTTAAATCTTGCATTTAACTTTTTATATTAAATAAAAATTTTAAAATTTTACTCAAGTTTTGGTTATGATTTTAGTCATTTGTTAAAATGTTAATGACTTAGATGAGATGAAAATTGGAGTGTTACATTTATAATATTATTTCTACTATTTACATTATATTTGACTCAAATAAAATTTGAAACTAGTTTTATTTTTGTTTTTTTATGTTTTTGAAAATGTTAGTTTCTTTATTATAACAATTATGATTAATTTTTGAAAATCCAATCTAAAAAAGTTAAAAATTAAATTCCCGTGCATCGAATCTGTGTAGTATTCCATACTTAAACTAGAACTATTAGTTAGGATTTTGCATCATCAGTTCATCCATGAAAATATGGTTTAAATTTTCATGGGATAATTTAGTTTTTTTTCAGAAAATAGAAAAAAAAAAGAAAAAGTTCTCCGAACCTACAAAGATGACTGAAAGCAAATGTGAAATAAAGTTATGTGGCAAGAGAACATGCATTATTCATATATCAAAATATAGATTAAAATGAATTTCATATAAGTGGCATCAATCCAAATGTGGTAGTTGAAAATATAACCTGTTCCACTTTTTCTTCTAATCAATCAATCTTATACTTTAAATTTAAATTATGAGAGCTTCTTTGTGCACCTACGTCTCTTTATTTTTCTATTATTCCAATTGTGCTCTTATCAGAACCACATAGAATCTTTTAACTGTTTTTATCCATTCAACAGTTAAAAGCAAATATTCATCCTTTACTCTCTGTTGCCTTTCACGTTCTGAAATCCTACACCTTTCTTCTCTTTTCTCGTGCACAGTGCTCCTCCCATCCTTCCCTCCTCCCTCACTTTACTTGGTGTCGTGCACAGTCCTCTCCTCGGTGGCCATGGTGGTATTGTGGTGAGTGTTTGCAGTAGTAGTTCTTCTTAGCTTGGGCGTCCAGGTTGGTTGTTCTTTCCTTAAACTTTGTATGATAAAAAGATTGTTTGTGATGATATTCGTTTGAATGTGTTCTTTGTATGAATTGTTTGTATGTAGTATTTGTATGTGCTGTTTGTATGTGCTGTGATACATTTCTGGACTAGATGAGAAAGGTCGATGCCTTAATTACACTGGTTGAGAGCACGTCGGTGTTGGAAGAAGGCTTGTAGAGCTTTCCGCACTTGGAAGTGCTGTTGAGAGCTCGTCACAGTCTGAAATACAGTCTAACTGCAAATGCGGTTGCCGCACTTGGAAGTGTGGTTTCACTTTTTCCGGAACTTGAACCACGGACAAGTACATTGCTTTTCCTTCTTTTGATTTGCTTTATTATAACATTTAATTGTTTTTAGAATTTGATTTGTTTTTTATATTATTTTTATTAGTTTATTTAAGTATTAAATATTTTGCGATTAATATTTTGTAATTTGTATTTTATATTTGATATTTATTTAAATTTGTTAGTTTTTTTATTCTATAATTATTTTTTGATATTTTATTTTTCAATATGAATTATTATTTAATTATTTGTTGTATATTTGTTTTTTAGTTTTTGATTCGTTTATTAATTTAAATTTAATTTGTTGTGTTTTGTGATTTTTCTTAACTTTATTTATTGATTTGTTAACATTTTTTTAATTTTTAATTTTTATTATAGTACAATAGTACACGATTAAGGGTTGTTGGTGATTGAAAAGTCATTAAATCATCATTATAATTTTTTAGATTTTATTAAATGAAGGATATAATTGTGAATTGAAAGATGTAGGATGAAACTGAGGTGCAAAAGCATCATTCTTAAATTTTTAGTGACAGAAATTTAACTCAACTCTTTTAACTTTATTATTAAATCATTTTTATATCCCTCTTCAAGCATATATTTCATCCTAGATTGAAATTGTGAAGCGAATCCCCGGTAAACTGCTCATTTTGTGCTGCAAAAGAGAGAAAATATATTAGTCCTGCTGTAGAAAAATTGGAATGAAATTTTGTAAGAAGATATTTTGCACTCTAATTTTGTAACTTTTTTCTCATTATAATCTACACAAAACACTTTTGATATGAATGTTTTTAAAGAAAGGTATATTATATTTTGAAGAAACAATGAAGATATACCTTTTATATAAGCTAATTGAAAACATAAAGGACTTAGAGCTTATTTTAATGTTGAACCTCACTTCGTTCTAATACTGTTAAGACATATTTAATGTAATAATTTTTTTCAGATTGTTATACCTAGAAATTTGTATTGTTTATTAAAATCTAACAATTATATGCTGTCACATGAATAAAATACCATAAAAAATAAAGAAAAAAAAACGGGAGATTATACCAATCAATCCAAATCAAAAGGGAGCAATTATCTAAACCTTAGTTCAGGAAGATTGTATCTACTATTGAAAAGTTTAATTCTACGAGAAGGATGCAATACATCGTATAGAGGAAATCTAATCTATTGTAAACAACTAGAATAACATATGATCCACACATCTGACAGTTCTTTTGAACAAATATATAAAGATTGACTTTTTTGAAGAGTTTTTAGCTATGTCGTCTATATTTAGGTTGATTAATATAGAATTGACATAAAAAAGTTAATTTTAACTTTCATAAAATATATTTATTACAAGTGTTTTTTCAAAGAAAACAAAAATTATATGTTGATTAGAGAAAGAGATCCTTGAATTTGCAGTATGTGATCATGTGTTATCGAAGGTTTCTCCTTCTACTAGAGTTGAGAGAGCAACCAAACACAAAAACTTAAGTTTATTCGGTTGTATCAGATTTTACGGAAGATAGGTTAGTTCCTCGACCACCTCATCTTGTCAGGTTGTACAGTTTATTTTATGTATCTCAGTTGAAGAAATACATTCCAACCAAACATGAATGTAGAATTATAGATTGTACTTAGTTTGAGGGATTTTTTAATATGTCATCAAGAAGTTATTTGAATCAATACCTGTTATCCTTTGAGCAATCTATTGGCAATGTTTAGTTCAACCATTAAAAGTATATAGTCTATGAGTCTGTTCAACAATCTCAAATAAGCAATTTTCCATGGTTGCCAAAGTAGCATTGGCCCTAACAAGCCCCAAAAGCCAGCAAAGAATCCTAGCCCCAAGCTCGTGTATAATGCTGTATAGAAAACTGAATTGCCATCTTCACTATCAATAGCTGGTTCTTGTGGTTTTTGTATTGTCTCTTCTCCGGGACAACTTTTGTTAAGTTGCTCACCACAAAGATCAATATTTCCTTCAAAACTAGAGGCACCAAAGGTTTCAAAATGTCTCCCCAGAGGGATTCTTCCACTAAGATTATTGTTTGATAGGTCTAACACACCAAGACTATCAATGTTGGGAAGAGTATAAGGAATATTGCCAGAGAAATTATTTCTTGATAAGTCTAGGAATTCTAGCAAATTTAAATTCCCAATATAAGAAGGAATTTCTCCATTTAAGTTGTTTCTTGATAAATTCATAGAAACCAATCCAAGTAAGTATCCAATCTCGTTGGGTATTGTACCCGTCAACTTATTACTTGAGAGATCAATACTATTTAGAAGAACATCAGGATTCCAAAACACAAAATCATTACCTTTCCACATAAGCAGCACGTTAAAGTCATAAATATTAAAGTTAAATTCATCAGATGAAATTTTTCGTTCCCTTATAATTTGTCTTGTAATTAGGTTCCTTTCCTTCTTTGCCGTGAAATTGCTCAGACACGTTGGGATTCCACCAGATAAGTGGTTCATTGAAAGATCCAAAAGATGAATTTTCCCCAAATAACAAATTTCGACAGGAACACTTCCAGTGAAGCGATTTAGTCGCATGGTCAAGATTTTCAACTCTTGTAGATTTTCTCCAATCCATGAGGGTATTCGACCAGACAACAAATTTCGACTCATGTCAAATATAATCAAACTAGCACAACTCTTCAGTGTGGAAGGTAGTTCTCCAGTTAGATTATTGTTTCGCAAGACCATAGCTTCCAAATTAACAAGAGTGCCCATAGAATGTGGAATCTCCCCTGATAATTTATTATTGCTCAAATCAAGAAATTCTAACGAATTTAGATGTTCCCAACAGTCGGGAAGTTGTCCATTTATTTGATTATTTGACAAATCCAAAGTGCGGATATTTGTAGTTGCTATTTTTCCACACACAAAGGAACTTAAATCCGAAATATTATTGTTCGAAAGATCTAATCCATCAACCTGTGACAAAAAGGCCGGAATTTCACCTTCAAGCTGATTTGAATTTAGGATGAAAACAATTGTTAAATAATCATTATTAAGCTTGATTGGTAAATTCGGAATTCTACCTTTGAGACTGTTGTAAGAAATATTCATCTCACTTATAAATTGTAACTTGTTCCAAAACCATTCTGGTATAAAGTCATCAATCCCAGCATCAGAAAGATCTAGAAAGGTTAATTGAGTTTGAGTACGCAACCAACTTGGGAAACTTGGGCCTAACTTGCAAGAAGCTAGTCCTAAACTATCTAACTGGAAAGGTGGAATCCAGGTGTTAGCAAACTTTAGAGACAATGAGTTGTCGGTTAAGTCCAAGAATACCAATTTAGATAAGTTTGTGAGATGCAATTCATTGATATCACCTTTCAAGTAATTTTCCGCTAGGTCAAGATACTTTAACTCATAAAGCAACCCAATGCTTTTTGGTATTCCTCCACTTAACTGATTGTTGGAAAGTTGTAAACTCCTTAAAGATGTAAAGAGTGAAAGATTAGGTAGCATTCCCGTAATCCGGTTAAAAGATAAATCTAGACTTTGAAAGTTGCAGAATGAAGAATTTTGAATGAAGCTAGAAAGTTCCCCACTCAGGTTGTTGTCACTAAGGCGTAATTGTTGCAAAGTGTATATATTCCCAAGAGAAGATGGAATTTCACCTTGTAGTTTGTTAAAAGAGAGGTCAAGATGTTCAAGAGAGTTAATCACTTCCCCAAATCCACTCTGAATGGGAGTTTCTAACAAGTTATTCCGAAGAGAAAGACCTCGAAGATTGGCAGTGTGGTTGAAAATCCAATGAAATATAGCCGTTGATTTTAATAGATTAGAGGATAGAACAAGAGTGAAAAGAGAAGGTAGAGATATTTTAATGGAAGCAGGCGGCACAAGAAAGCTTCGGTCAGTAAGGCTGCAATTATTCAGATAAAGTTCTTGTAGTTTGGGGAAGTTGAACAGATACTGAAATGTTGATGAAGTCAAAACATTATCAGAGAGATCAAGGATAGTAAGAGATGTGGAAAAGTTGGAATGAGAACGAAACAAAGATGAAAAATCATTATCAGAAAGATTGCAATTAACTAGCCTCAACTCCCTTAAGTTAGGTATAAGCTCATTGATCATATGACAAGAGGAGCCAAAATCAGGCTGCGACCTCAAGCTAAGCGTTCTTAACGAAGAGAGAGAATACAGCCACTTTGCATCATTAATTTTAAGATTACCTAGTCTGAGAGTGTGCAACAGAGGAAGATTTCCAACCTGGAAAGGTATAGCTCCAGAAAATGAATTTTGATCAAGATCAAGATACCTCAAGCGTGAGAGATTTCCGAGTTGATAGGGGATTTTTCCTTGGAGATTATTGACACTTAGATCCAGATATCGTAATCTTGTAAGCTTCCCAAGTTGAGAAGGGATTGTTTCACAAATATCAGTTTCTTTAAGATCAAGATACTTCAACTTTGAGAGATTTTCCAGTTTTGAAAGGATTGCTCCATCGAAAGAATTTCCTTGAAGATCAACATACTCCAACTTTGAGAGATTCCCCAGTTGAGAAGGGATTCCCCAAACAAAAGGAATATATGATAGATTAAGATATCTTAACTTTTTGAAGGAACCCATTTGCTCTGGGATTGGAGTGCTACTACTGTCAAAATTATAACTGAGATCCAAATATTCCATATTTTGCAAGTGAATCAATGAAGTAAGATTCATTGAACCAACCAAATAATGCATTATTGAACCACGAAGATCAAGCAATTGTACATGACCTGTTCTACTGTTGCACTGAATGCCTTTCCATTTGCAGCAATCAGTTGTATTGCCATCATCCCTCCATGTTGACAGAATCCCAAAGAGATCTATGAGGCCATGTTTGAAGTTGAGGAGTGCTTCTCTCTCTCTGTTAATGCATTTCACTTCTGAACTCTGCGATGGCGAGATGAATCCAAGACTGAATAGTTTCGGAAGCAAAAGGCACACTGAGATTGCCAAAAAGATTTTCAGTAAGTGACCTGCCATTTCAAAATTCTGGATATGAAATTTTGACTTGTGATGAATATTGTAAGCAGAGCATGTAAGAACCAAGAAGTAATAAGAAAGTGTACATGCAAATAATAGTAATCTCTGGTTTATATGAGATGTTTAGATGAAAATAACAGTAATCAGATCTGAGAATTTAATAAAAAAAAATAATTAAATTTCTACCCTGACCACAAACTTCCACTGTCAACTTCACATAAAGGTTACATCATGGAGAAAGCATTTATGTGCAGTAAGTCTTCCTAGCAAGACTTTCAACAATATCAATAAATACATTATTTGTTGAATTTCCGAGTTTTCTAATCGTAAAATATGGGTTAAAAAATTAAAATGCTCAATCACATCAATCATTCTTACTCTTGGTTGTGGAAAATCTGCCTTTACCGCATTAACTTTCCATAGTGGTGTTGAATGGTTGACTCATTCTATCTAATCGCTACCAACTTTCAAAAATATAAATATAAAAAATATGTTGTACAGTTCTTTGAAGAAACTCATGTGTTCTGTTACCTGACTGTCACTGAAATCACGTAAGGTTACGTCCAAATGTTAAATATTCAAGAAAAAACTAAAACTATCAATAAAAATATTTTATTGACAAAAAATAAAATTTATACAAAAATATTATTAAATAAATCAGTTCTATAATTAAATATATAGATAAACTACTTTGACAATAAATTTAATAAAAAAATTATAAATAAGCTAGTATGTAAATGTAACAGAAACTTAGTTTTTAAGCTACTTTAACATTATGTTTATAAGCTACTTTAATTAAAAATTGTAAATAAAGTAGGGTACGTAACCATTCTCAACTTCCTGTTATCAATTTCCAAACATATCAAATTTCAGTTATTGACTATCTTTCCAAAGATAACTATTGCTTACATTGATAGAGTAGTTTGGTTTATATGAGATTGTTTTGATGAAAATAATAGTAGATCTGAGAATTTAATTGAAAAAGAAATAATTAAATTTCTACCGAGACCACAAGCTTCCACTGTCAACTTCACAAAAAGGGTTACATCATGTAAAAAGCACTTATGTGCAGCAAGTCTTCTTGGGAGCATGACTTTCATCAATATTAATAAATATATTCGTTGAATTTCGAAGTCTTTCAATCGTAAAATATGGGTTAAAAAATTAAAATGCTCAATCACATAAATCATTGAGTTGTGGAAAAACTGCCTTTACCGCATTAATTTTCCATAGTTGGGTCGGATTCACCAGTGGAAAAATACCTTTCAGTTGATTCATGCTATCTAATCGCTACCAACTTTCATAAATATAAATATAAAAAATATCTTTCAAGGAATACACGACGTTTTTACTTGAATTTTAGAGAAGCAACCCATAGCAGCATTTTCAACCTATGAAATGAAATTGAGTATGTACGACTTAGGTAGTTTTTGGATTAGAGAATAAATTTAAGGGAGAGTGAAGGGATGAATTTGATAAGATGGAAAAGAAATTATAGTGTTGTTTGGAAGGGATTTGAAGGAATGAATGAAGAGATTTGAAACAAAAATTTGTGAGAACTTATGAATGATATAATAGATGTATAGATTAAAAATTGTTTTAATTGATAAAAAAAAATTATTACCAATTTGTTTTTACGTAGAAATTTGATATAAATTTAAATTTAAGTATTGAAAATTATATTGAAAGGGAAATTGTTAATGTAAAAAAAAATTAATTGCTAATATATTTTCTTAAATAATAATTTGTATATTATTAAAATTATTGTTAACAAAAAATATATTGAATTTGATATAATAAACAAAAATTGTCATATTTAGATTAAATTGAAATAAGTTTGAACACAAAGTACACTCTTTAATTCAGACCCAATAAATTAAACTTAAAATAATGACAATAAATTTAATACAATGCATAAATTTGATCTTCCAAATTGTAATTTTGTGTAGGTGTTATCAAATCTTTGCCTCACAATCAATGTCAAATTGGAAAGATTATCCTGGATGTTATCAATTATGTCTATCATTTGTGTAAACTTGTCATCTTGAGCCAAGACTCCATCTCGTTGTACACTGTGTTGTTGTATTTGGTGTTGTGGTCCAATGTTAGCAATCACTAGTACAGTCAAGAGATACGACAGCGGTTCTGAAACCGAGGCATATACGAGCGAGGTAAAAAGTCTACCCATTTTTGCCTCGGTTGTGGACCGAAGCAAAAGGAGTAGGATTTTGCCTCGATTCAAAAGTAACTAAGGCAGTAGGATTTTGCTCCCTTTTTTTTAAGGACTTTTCGCCTCAGTTCTCTTTTGAACTGAGGTAGTATCTTGGGAAATTCAATAAAAAAAAACAATGATATTGTGATACTTAAATTCATCCTATAAAGCAAAGTTCGTCTTTCAGTTCTCTACTTCAGATCTTAAATAAATTAATATAACATATAAAAGAGAACTGTAATTATGAAAGAAGAATAAGTGTCTCCTTTGTAATCAATATCAAATAAATTAATATAACATATAAAACACGTAAAGAATAGGTGTCTCCTTTGTAATTGTGGAATATGGAGATGAAATCACCCACCTAAAATTTGGTAGTTTCCACTTAAATAAGATTAGTTTAGAGTGAAAATATGTTTGAGTAGTTCAATAATCATCAATATCAAATATTGCCAACCTCTTCAAACAAAAGAAACAAGGGATAATCTTTTCAATCAAGACATCAGACAACTCACCAAGATGCAAAAGACATCCTCCTAGACTATCACGACTCATCAAGAAATGTCATTGCCCTCTTTCTGTGAAGTACAAATGGCAAGAACAATGTCATAAAGATCTCCATCAGCTTCCTTACCCACAAGCTTCATCTCTCACAACTGTTTCTCTGCCTCAATTCCATGATCAGCACAAATGTACATAGCAAGGAGCCTCTCATGAACCACTCCATATAGTGATGGACTGCCATCTTGTATTACCCAATTGAACAACCGCACTCCATCGACCAGTAGCAAAACTCTGAAAAGGCCAATGAAAATTCTAATCCAGCAAAGCACATAATAATCCAATCATTCATACACAGTCCAAGTAAAAAAAAGTTGAACAATATTGTCAATGGTGTTGGTGATGCCTACAACCACAAATGACAACAAGCAAACCCAAAACAATTTATAAAGAAAGAACGAACTTGGCCCAGGTTGGTCTCCTCCCGGGGCACGAACCCGGGCCGGAGGTGCGGCGGAACGAACTTGTCGGACTTGGGCGACGGAGAGAGCATATCCTTGTTGTCGTGATTGATGACAAGGAGAGACGAGAGGGAGGAAGCGGTGCCAGTTCGACGAAGGGGTGGAGCGAGATCGCATCCGGTGGCGGAGCGAGATCGTGTCCAGATCGCGTCCGGTGGCGGAGCGAGATCGCGTCTTGTGGTTGAGCGAGATCGCGTTCGGTGGTGGAGCGAGATCGCGTTCGGTGGTGGTTCCCACTGGTCCTGGGTTTGATGGATCGGATTGGGTGGCGATTAATGGTGGGGTTGGGGTTGCGAGGTGGGAGGCGTAACGGGTTTGGGGGTGGGATGGGTCAAGACGAGGATGCGGCCATGGGCTTTGGGGGCAAAGACGGAGGAATGGGCTTTCGCGGGAACAGGTTGGATGCGGCCATGGGCTTTGGGCGGCGATAACGGAGCGACGGCGATGAAGGAGAGGTTGGATGCAGATAAACTGTAGATTAGGGTAATTTCCTTCGTGGGTGAAGATAAAAAACCGATACTGCCTTGGTTCTTTACTAAACCCGATGTCTATACTCACTCTATTATCTCGGTGTGTTGGAAACCGCTTTCAAAATTCTCTCTACTGCCTTAGGTCTAATTGAACCGATGTTGTAGGTCAATTTCAAAAAGTATTACGCCTCGGTTTGATCAATAACCGAGGTAATTTTGCTTGTATGCCTTGGTTCAAGGGGAACCGAGGCCTATAAGTTCATTTAAATTGCAAAAATGTCACCGCCTTTACATATATTTCGGTTTTCTGGAAACCGAGACGTATTACCCGCGTTCTTTTTCGCGTTTTGCACTAGTGAATATCTTCTGCAACATTTGGAGTGTCTTCATCATCATCATCATCACCACCTGCATATAATGTCTTATTTGGACAATGTTTTTGTATCAAACTAGTGGTTCCATTCCAATCCAATGAGGCTCTTATAACTCAAGTTTAGCTCAAAGAGACAAGCAACATTGGGTACGAACAATGTTGTTGTTTTTGCATTTGACCATGTGTTGCATAATAGGTGTCGTTAGTTGATGACAACATTATTTTTCAAACACCACAAGAAGAATATGTCCTTATGAGTTAGTTTAGCAAAATTTGTACCCGCCATGGATACTTGATACCCGCAAGTATTTACTACCTGCGGATAGTGCATAGCAGGTATTTTAATACCCACTTATAAATGGATGGGGTGTGGGTATTCTACTAGTCGTACTCGCAGGTATTCGCTACCCATAAAAAACAAAAATAAAAATTTAATTTATATTTTATTAAAATAAATTTAATTAAATTAATTTATATTTTATTAGATTAAATTTAATTACAATTAAATTTTAATTTATTTTAGATTTTATATATTTTTTGTAATTTTATTTAAATTTATTTTAAAAATCTATAAAATAATTTTTTTAAATATTTGCGGGTATCCACATATACACTTGCAAGTTTAAAAAATACCTGCGGATATTTTTTAAACAGGTATTGCGCTATTAATGAGGGTCATAAGGAGATAATTTTTTTGTTGCGGGTTGGGTAGTAGGTAAACATTATCTATACCTGACCTAACCCATTATCATTTGTAACATCTCGACTCTAGGAGTTACTTAAACGTGTATCACAGTCAAATTTTCAAGGTAACTTAATTTATTTCAAAATTAAAATAAATATCCTTAACTTAAAGAAAATAAACTGTTAACTACAAAAAGAGTTGGGATTATCAACGAACTAAGTCCGTTAGAAACATACAA